AGGCAAAACCGCTCCTTCTTTTATTGCAACGCCATACAGATATGTCCCGGAGTAAGCCAATCAGAAATTTATTAAAAATTCTCAAAACTTTCGCTACTTTTGTGACAATGCATAAAAGCAATTAATACGCACAGGATCCATAACCTACCAGCTTATCTAATGCTCTTGCAGTCATTTCTGGTCCAGGATTAGAGCTGGGATTACTATTTGTATTGGAAGTGGTATTTGTAGACAAACTGGAACTAGGGTTGGTTAGGGGTTTGGGAGTAGAGCGAATGTCAATGTTTGTAGCAGAGTGCGTGGAAAGATTGTCGGTAGGTGGTGCAGCAGAGTAAGGAGCACTGTCCCCAAGCTCCTTTGCAGCATGGATCGGGTCCTAAAATGGAATAGCAATTCCTAATTTAAGAGCTTTTTTTAAAAAAATCACCATATATTCAACTGAGAAAAAATAAACTAATAAGACTATCATGTTTTTTTCCCTCTAGTGCTACACATGTAAAGGTCATAATGCTTTTTGAAAATGTTTATTTCTTCTAATATTCGAAGCTCTTAGTTATTCTCAAAGCTTCACAAATATTGTAGCACATATGTAGCAAGCTCTCGGGCAACTCTTCTTTCCTCTCACTTTCAGAACACCAAGAAGTAGCCTAGATAAATGGATAACAGAGGAACTTTTGTAGTATTCTAAATTCATGTGCCCATTCAAAAAACAGTATATAGTATGTTGTTACTTGAAATAGTAAATTTAATCCGTTCTCTCGTTCATTCCATTGGGTAATAATTTCCAGACAAATTTAGCAAACTGAGATAATTTCTTAGTCAGTGCGAAAGTAATTTTTCAAAATGGTGACCAGAACGAAAACATCTTTAAGTGATACGAACAATAAAGTTTCTAATTATAAAACATAGCTTACCGTCTCGCCCTCAAGTAGTGGATCGTTATCCATTTTTAAACGCTCCAAAGTTCTTGAGAGTGACTAAAAAAAGAATGGTATACTGTATTCTAGCTCTCACTCTGTATAAATGCTACATTTTCATTTTTCACAGCGTTTTTGGCGGTGTCGCAAGCAGCCATGAGCTCATCGAAGTCCTCGTCCCTGAGCCTCTTCGTCTACAAAAAAAAGTTCACACTTCTGGAATCACTTCTCAAGGCACTATCCACAATATACGGATATCAATCGATATATTGAAACCTACCTCATCGCGCGACTGGTCCATGCTGCCGATGGCGGTGTAACAGCCGAGGCTAGCTGGCTACGTCCAAGAAGCTTCGTGCACCCACTCAAATCTAACGCGATGACACGCCTCCCTTTCGCAAAAGTTCCTCTCTTTTCAGTTTTTCTCGATGACTCACAAATGAACACCACACGTCAATCATGAGAGGGCGAACTTGAGAGGCTTCCGCGCAATCCGCTTGCCTACCACCTGTTCTTTCATATTATTTCATTAGTGCTCGAAGTGACATCAGCTCTTCGGATGAATTTGGAGGCTCACGGTGGAAAAACTCTAATACATATGAAATATCAGGTCTCCCTATATGGTAAAAAAAATCTTAGACATAATAATATATCATCGTCAAGAAAGTTTTAACCTACATCTTTCTCTTTCTCAGAGAATGATATGTGTTGAAAAATTAGAATTTCAGTCCGTAAAACCACGTTTTTGATTAATCGAAATAAATATGGCTAGAAAACAACAAGGTACCAATTCAAAAGAACTTGCAAAAAATTGCTTAGGTTAAGATCTTGCTAGTTGGACATCAACTTTTAACAAGATTTCAAAGCCACGGGAAATTTCTCTCGGTGATTTCTTTTAGTGTTGATTTCTTCTCCTCCTTAGAGAACAAAACTGTATATGAACAGTTAGATCTGGGTGTTAATCAATCGAATCAATGCTACAAAAATTATGAATTTTGAGTCATCTTTTTCTGCAGTGAACAATTTCTTCATATGCATGAAGGGCTATTGTAGCCCTCCTTAGCAAAACTAATATTTTAATCAAAAGTATAAACGGGATATTATAAAGTTTACTGCTATCTTGTAAACTCCAAATTGAACACAAGCAAAAAACCCACCATAATGTTTGCAGTGTTACCTGACACGCTATTAAGGTCACAACAGAAACTGATAAAATTACAAATATGAAATCATATGAATTCAACCGAGTCAGAGAAGGACTTGCATTCATCCACAAGAATATCAACAGAACATGAGATCAAAGGAGGCATTAAGAGAACGTCGATACCGATTTGCGCAGAAAGTATCAGCTCAATAAGATATTCCAACAGCACCCATTTTATGACAATGCTTTCAAGGCGGACTAGATTTCAGATGAGATACATAAACATCTTCATGAACTCGATTCTGTCAGCGCATGTGCCTCGCATGTGAGGAAGATTCGAACTTGAATTACATATTGGTACTTTCTTTAATCTGAACCAAACATTATGAGGTGAGGTATCGCCAACGCTGGTCATGTGACATACAGTTCGACTAGATCAGGATTGAATATGTTAAAACCTTTAAATAATAGCTCGAACAAACGTGATCCGAGTGAAGAAAAAAGAGCTACCTTGAAGTAAGCTGAATAACATCAAGTCACATATCCTATTTCCTTATTATTCCATCGCGAAAGAGACGATGCTGATAAAATGAAATCTGTAATGAAAAAAGATACCGTATGCGAACTAGGAATAATCTTAAACATAAATGGACAATTTATGTTCTTCGAAGATTATCAATGTTAATGAGGAATGAGTAACAGACAAAAACATACCTCCAAAAAGTCAACCTCATAACATTACGCGCATTTTTAAACGTGATATCAATATTGACAACAAATTTGTAGACGATTTCAAACATAAGATCAGCATCAATGATAGGGATTGTGGATCTGGATAAAAGGGAGAAAATTCATAGTCTTTCGGAAACAGACGAAAACATGCAGCGCTTAAACAGGCGATGAGTCCCTGATCCTGGTTTTCATCGTCACATCTCCTTCTTCATCTGAATTTTCACTGATCGCATCTTGAACGTGTACGTCCTCCTGTTCTTCTTCACGAGCTTCGGCCACTATCGTCCAAAGCATCCTCCATAATGGCAAATGGTCGGTTAGTACCTAAAAATTATTTTAAAAAAGCTCAAAAAGACCTTCTGAGTGAAGAAGAAGGAACCAGCACGAATCACGTCACGGACACAAAGGAACATGAAATGAAAAGGAAAAAAAACTCTTACTACTCGCCC